TGGCTTACTACAGCCGACCAACGGCGCCAGAAGGAGACCCATGACGACGACCATGGTTCTGCACCAACGTTCATTCCTGGAGCACTTGTATGGCTGCATGTACCGCCCTGTGCCCCTGGTGTATCACCCAAGCTACTCTCTAATTATCATGGTCCCTACCGTGTAGTCGAGCGTACCTCATACGTGAACTACGCCATTGAACCCCTCACGCCGCCGAGTGACCGTCGTCGGCGTGGACAGGATATTGTTCACGTAAACCGTCTCAAGCCCTACTTTGACCCACTTATCCCTACGTGTTAGATTGCCAGGATAGCTTTAACTTTTTTGCCAGGGGTAATTATAGTGAATAAGAAAGATGTTGATAACATCGGCTCAAATATCATCAACACAAGAAAAAGGCACGAGATCGGCGATCGAGCACCGCCATCTGGGTCCGCCTGCATTCCTTTCGAGCTACCACCCACTTGCTCAGTTGCTTCCATAAACCCCCTTTACAATATTAATAATAATAACGGAAGGAGGATGTGGGGAAGGAATCGCACTCATGCTTTCTTTCCTTTTACGGCTCTGCGGCAGTTTAGTGGCACGGACACAGTGGTCCCTTCGAGATAGAGACAATGAAGCCTCTTTCGGAGGGCTGTTCAACTCAGCTTGCGGAACGAGTTACTCTACCTCGGTGGGAAAAGCAACCCTCGCTTGGGAGAGGGAAACAGGATAATGAGCAAAACCAGTGGGCAGAGACAAGAAGAGACACTCTTGCACTAGCGACTGAACAGGGACAACTGACCTCCGGAAAACCCTGCAAGTTAAGGCGGTCAACTAAAGGTGTAAGCATACCTTCTATTATCTTTATAGAACAGTCTTTTTGTGACATTTACGCATTGTAGCGATAAATTGTTGTTTGTTGAACTAGCCTGTTGCCTTATTCGCCCGAACCTTTTTTTGAAAGAAAAATACTTTCTTAGTGCACAGGAAACGTTTCAGATAGAAAACAGATATCTCTCATCTGTCTTCTTTTTGAAATGTTCTCTGCACATAAAAAAGTATATTTATTTCAAAAATGCAACAACAACCAGCCCAAGTAGCCACTCTATTGCCCAAACCTGTCCCTGCTACGATGACTCAAGCTATGGGAAGAGGGCGTTAATCGTGTGTGGTACAACTGTGTGTGGCTTGAACATCAGCTAGGCTTCTGCACCAGCCATGCATAGGGCGGACTTCTTCAACCTATAACCCCACCAGTGCTGCCATGATGAAACGATACTCAGCTTTCAAGTAGTCTTACTTGCACTCACCAGGCCATGCTGCAGTCACCCTTGGAATTTTTTCTGTTTCGTGGCTCTTCGCAATACAGACTGTCACATAAAGTCAACGTGCTGGCTCATGGTAACAAAAAACAAGCATGATGAGGCACTACGATTCACTCTATGCATGGTCATGTCGGCATAATCGGCTGCACGGCTACGCCCTCCCTTTCAATTATTGATGGGGTACGAAAATATTGCCGTTGTCTAGTACCAGAAACTTCAAATGCTTTTTTCGATGCACTGTTAATAACATAATAAATTGCATAAATGACCATTAAATTTTCTCTAAAAGTTGTTGATAAAAACAACACATAATTTCTGTTTGTTTATAATTTGTGAGCATGCTTGTTTATAATTTATAATATGAAAAGTAACAACCATTAGTCTGGAATATTTAGCACTTTCTTAAAGTATTGTAATGGTGACAAGGACAATGTTGCAATTAGATGCCAGCACTTTGGTGATTATAGCTTTTCCGGGCCAGCTTTCTTTCAAGAGGCTAGTGTATTATCTTCATGATGTACAGTTAAAAATGAACAAGTCAAAATAATACAGTCAAACACAATTACATCGAAGTCACATATATCAAATTTTTGGGTATATCAAACTCGCAAGTTATCCCCATGAAATTCTTTTGTAGAAGTATAGGAATTCGCACCTTTATATCGAACGATATTTTTACCCTCTTTCGGATATATCGAATGCCGCCTGTGCTAAAAGTGCGCTTTAGCACTCCCCCTCCTCATCTCCGCAGCAGTGCTGCTCCGCGTGCAAGTTGGAAGGAGCTATTTGGTATTAGAAGCACCTGGCGACCTCCATGCAGCACCACGCCTTCGCCAAAAACTGAAACACTTGAAAAAAGGTAAGGGCGAGAGCGCTTGGACTGCACAATCTCTGACTTGTGAAACGTTTTTTTAAATTTCTCCTCTATTTCACGCTTTCTCCGCGTACCCGGTGACTTGGAGAGCAAAAACGAAGGAGCCGACGTCCTCCTCCTTTCGCCTTTTTTTTTATTCTTTGTTGCTGTTTCCAAGTTTTGATCACCCCACCACAACTCGCGCCTTTTGCTGTTGCCCTCGCAGGTGGAAATCACCTCGCAGCCACTTCGTTGCTTCTGCAGTCACGGCCCCTGCGAAACACCAAAAAAAGCCGCTGCAGACTTCTTAAATTGTCGACTTCTCGTGTAGCTATAGCCAGCGCAAGACCCTTGACTTGGCAACGAAGTTGAAGGTTATTCAGCACGATTAAGTGGGCGAGAATTGTTCGACCGTCACAAATGACTTCAGGATATCATGGACCAATCTGAGTACCTTGTTGAAAACCAAGACAGATAATCAAGGCAAAGGCGGCGGAGCAGCGAATGTTGGGAGCCTGTCATGTTCGCGCTCCTGCCCACGAGAATGTAGAAAAAAAAACCGCCAGGCCTGCACGGTAGGCACAGCACAGTTACAGCGAAAGCTAGAAAAGCGGCCTTTCAGAGCCTTTTCAAAACACTCATTGGTTAACTACTGCAAGCACACTTGCTTGGTACTCACTAGGGCAAAAATAACAAGCTTTTGAGTAGTAGGCCGGCATTCGCTATGCTATTTTTCGTCATTCTTCGGTGAAGCGTGGTATTCGCTAAACACTTGCAAGAAATTTTGTGCCAATTGTCCATGCAGTGGCTGATGATGATGAGGAATTATGGCTGAAGTGAGTATGCGCTACAGTTAATAGGGAAACAAGAACAAGCTTTTTTAATTATTTGGAGCATTAAACGGCACTCTGATGACGCTATTCGCATTGTGCGATGACTGCTTGTTCTTTCGCTGTTGTAAGTCGTATCGACCCGATTGCTTTCCCGACATCAAACCTGCCTGAGGCAAGTTTAACAAGTCACGAGCACCGGTGTATCTCAGTGGTAGAATACTGGGCTGGCACCCAGTGGACCTGGGTAGGAGCCCCACTGTGCCATTGGTGCTAGGTCACACCTGCCTAAGGCAAGTTTGACAACAAGTTATAAGCACCGGCGTAACTCAGTAGAAGAATATTGGGCTGGCCCGCAGCAGACCCAGGTTCAAGCCCCACTGTGTCATTGATGAAAGTTTTTTTTCTATTTTCGCGCGATGTGGTTGCCAACACCGACGGCGGTGGCAGCGGACGACAGTATGTGACCCGAAAAGTAATCTTATAACAGCTTTTGCTGTAAAAACACTCTATGCCTGGTATTTAGAAGTGCATGCGAAGAACTTTCCGGTGGATGGCCCGATGCTGATCGCCAAGGCCAAATGGTTTGCCGCTGCACTCGGTGAAATAAATTTGCCGACAACAGCGGGTGTCTTCACCAATTTAAGCAGCGCTACAACATGATTGGCGAAACCAAATCTGGGGAAAGCGAAGCTGTCAGCAGCCAGGACATTCAGCAGTGGATGAAGAAGGAGTGGCAGGAAATCGTGAAGTTTTCTCCCGCGGAGATCTTCAATGCGTGGCGAGACGTGAAGATGGACACAGCGGTCAACTGCTTCCGCAAGGCAGGCTTTAAGAAGGCAGAACTTGCGGAAACCAGTGAAGATGACAAGTTCATAGACAACGCGTTTTGTAAGTTGTCGTCCCGCTTCCTGGTAGCAGTTCCACACAAGGTGTCTGCGGACGGCTTCGTGGAAGCAGAGTGCAATGTCCAGGCTGACAGCTCATGTGACAAGGGGGATAGTTCGAATGAGGCTCTGGCTACACGTGCGTATTCCGCCGCTCAAGTGGTGGCACCTTTCAGCCTCATTCACCGTTGTATTGGCCACATGGAGAGAACCGGGCTGTCGCACTTGCACAGCCTTGAGAATAGTGTTTTCAACATTTCAAAAGCAAAAAAGTAGGCTAAAATTAGCGATTTTTTTCATGCAAATAAGTAATTCTGTTGTGGCGTGTGTGCGGAATGAGTTGTCATTCTTGTATGTGCCTATTGTAGGTGATGATCTGCTACGAATAAGCTCTCAAACCTCAATTTTTTATATCAAAATTTTCATATATTGAACTAATTCACGATCCCTTTGGAGTTCGATATATACGTGTTCAATTGTACACCACACCGTAACGTAACAACACTAGTGATCCTTTTTTTACTTTATGATTCTGCAAAAAAAAATCAAGGTAATCTCTGTCTGAATTTATTTCAGCAATACAAAAATTATACATATTTGAACTGCATTTCGCAAAAGGTTCGACCCTCAAAGCGTTAAGTGACCTCCCTACTCCATAACATTTCAATGGTGCTTTAGGCACAGCAGATAATGATGCATGCAGCCTGTTTAGGCTGTGAGATTTTGCCTTATCCACATATTTAACTCACCAGCACACAGTGACTTTTGCATCTTTTCTCAGTGGAATAATTTTTTGGGAAAAAAAGGGTAGTTGTCAAATTTAGGACATGTTTATTGCAGCTTCTCAGCAAGTGCATGGACTTTGATCGGACAAAACATGCAGCGAAAAAATAAAGTTTAAATTAATTACTGCTCATTTATTGATGTAAATACCACAGATATTTTGCATATGAATCTGTTGTAAATGGTAGCAGGGATTGATAAATTGCTAACCGCTTTTTGCGTTCTTCAATGTTCGAAATATTTGCCCGATGTAATCCCATGCAAATAATAAAAAGGCCACATATAAGGACACCCTCATTAACTGTAAAATTCGTCAAGAGGCTGTGTCCAGCAAGAATTATGGTCCAGTTGAAAAAATTCTCACATTCTGGTAATGGTCATCAAAGGAAAGTACAGCCTGCCCCAGAGATCCTGTGATCTGAGCAACGGCAGCAGCCGGGTTTCCTGGGAAAAGAAAGGTGACATCAAAAAAAAATTGTTGAGGCATCAATGCATGTCACTCACCAATGACATGGCCCATCAGGCTATGTGCACCTCGTGACAGACCTTCAGCAAATTCTTCTGGGCTCTGAACAGATCCCTGCAAGGAGGTATTCAAACGGTGAAGCTATACATAGCAATGCTTTTCATTAGCCAAGATTTTCGCCCCCTTTCTCTACCCTTTAAGTGAGAAGCTTTGCCATAGTCTCTCTTTTTTTTTGTCTTTGTCTTTCATGTGTCTCAACATTTCGGCAGTTGAGGTCGCTGAAACGAAACCACAGAAAACAGCAGCAATGTTGAAGTCACTGGAGCCACATATGTGCCCATATGATCATGCGTCTATACCGGCTACAGAAAGAATAGCAAGCTTTCCGCATACTAAATTATTCCAAGTATAATTTGTCCTACAACCTAAACCATTTTGGCACTACTATGGCAACTCTTTTTGCACCTACCTACGTGGATATTTTATGCAACAGAGTTTGTAAAAGTTCCCAAAGTGGAAATTCAAGAATATTCAAGAATTTTCTAGGACCTTTTGCAATTTTTTCAAGGGCTCAATGCAGCATGCAAAGTTGGAATTTTTCCACTCCAATTTTGCAAAATGATCAACTTTAATGCACTTACGATAAAGAAATGAATATCTCAATTATAATTACTTCTCAAGGTCACAACACAATTAAATTTACAAATGCGGTTGAGATTTTTCTAATACAGGGGATTTGCACTAAGCGTTGATCTGCAAGGGGGCAATACCATCGCCGTGCCATTTTGAAGGTCTGTTTGTACCAACAGGTTCTATAAACGTTGGTTTGTATGTGCTGTCTCCCTGCCCGGGCTTAGACTCACAGGAGGTGTTCTGCAGGCCTCTAGACATCCAAGTTATCATATGGATCTTAGAAACACTGTGTGGAGCAAGTGTTTTGCGTGTGCAGGGAGTGAGCAAACCTCCTAAACGGCGATGAACTCGCATCTGCAAAGATCGTTCATTGCAGTTGTTATCTCACTTATATATAGATGAATAAATATATGTGTTAAAGCTGTTAATAATGACTAGACCGGATAACTCTGCAAATACTAAACAGTAAAAAAAAGCTCGCAACTCACAATAAAGTCTTACAACAGAGGCTGCCATATTACTCCACTATGAGCTCTATGAAGCTCAACAAACAGATTAAAAACATTCAGCATAATGTCATTTTAGATAAAAAAAAATGTATAGGAGGTATGCACTTCATCGACGTCATCTGCAAAGAAAGCTTGCTGCGGGTTCCCTATTTTGCAGGTTCACTCACCGCACACGCAAGAAACATGCAAAACACGTTTGTTTTGTTTATTTTTTAAAAGCGTAGTTTGAAAGGGAAATGTTAGAAGCTATCAAGAACGCATTAGGTATAGTGCTAGAAAGGCTGGAAAGCAATGAGAGCACAGATCGCACCTTCGCCGCAGGTCTGTTTGGCTTTTTCAGACCCCGCAGCGGCGGTGACATCGCGAGAAGACAGCATGACAGATGCTGACTGACGACTTTGGTCAGTTCAGTCCCTCTTCAGCATGTGCTGGACCTTATTTTTATGTACGCACTCATGCTACTTCTACGTTGAGTGCTTGAGCATGGGTGTGGTTCTGGCATTCTGTGCAAGTGAGAAAACATTTCAATGTCACCGCAGTGCACACACCGTATTAAATACACACTATGTTTTTGTGCAGCGTCTAATACAATAATTACTCTTATATGCAATGACTGGTCATTTTCAAGTCAGTGGCACATCAGTAGCACGAAATAATTTTTCGTTATCCAATTAAGCCGGCACCTGTAAAGCCCTCGACCACGCTTAATTCGCAATATGGCGCGTGATTAGTAGGCGGCCATGACCACCAAGAAAATTGCCAACCTGTAAAGGCCTGACCCCACATTAGCGTTGCACCATTTCAATGCGTGGCTTTTCGACGTGGCATGTGCCACACCGGAAATGGTGCTGTGCTTCGTTTTACGCAATGGCCACATCAAAAAGTTACGCGCCGACGGGCTTCAACACGTATGCGTGGTCAGGCCCTAAAGAGGTTGTGCCACAATACTTGTGGCATGCGCGTTCTTTGCTGCAAGCGTTTCTTAAGGCTCCAACAAGCACAACAGATGCACCACAATTACTTTTTTCTGACTAAATAATTTAATATCACTTCATTGATGTGGAGCATTTTAAGTTTCGGTTTGTGGGCACGTTGGGCAGGGATGAAGTAGTGAAGGTTGTGATCACACAAAACTTGACAGGAATCATGCTGAGCGTTGTCTGCTTCTGAACACATGTGCCACACAAGCATCTGCAAAACAAATGCAGCAACCACGATGCTTTGCCGGTGCATACATGGCGGAAGTCCCTCAACTTACTACAGATCTGAAGTGGCGTCACTATAACTTTCGTGGCTATAGGTCGCTTTCCTATAGCCACGAACGCTTTCCTAGTCTAACCAATCGTGTGCAGTGTCCTTGCATACAGAGGAAACCTACACGATGCTTGCTATAGCCTTAAAATTCTATAGCACCACCCCATAAAAGCCTTGGCTTGTGCACATTTTTGCAGCGTGCCGCTCGAGCACTAAGAAGTACACTCATCTTGTAGATGCACGAGTCTTCTTTTCCAGCATCTTCTTTGGTGTTCATGCAGCAAGCTTAAAGTATCAAGCTGTGGCCATTGTTCATCAGCACTCATCCTGTGCGCATTATTTTCGTGCGTACTTTGTGCTTGAGCGTACTTTGTGCATGTATCGATCGAGTTGCTTGCTCTTATTTGTGTGATACTATAAATGCTTGTCATTGCATTCAATGTTTTGCCCTTGCCACGAAACAAACTTGTTTTTTCACATGCATATTTGCAAAGTAGGACCATGTCTTTCGCACCCCATTACTGCTTTGGAAATCGAGAGTTTGACGGGCCGACACACCAATCTACCACATTTAGGAGGTCGCAATGATGATATGCAAGTGCACTGCTCAGAAAATTCAAGCATTTTCAATGATGAAAAAAATTCCAAGGCTTTCAAGGGCCTTGAAAATTCATTTTTTAAATTCAGGGCTTTTTTTCATTTTTCAAATTCAGTGAGGGCCAAACTCTGCTCGCGTTGGCTTCTGAGAGGTACGGCTGAGTGTAGTATAACCACACACTCGGACGCTGCACTGCTCTTCGACCTAGCGTTCGAAAAAGGGGGCGTCAAAAGCTAAGCGTTCGCCGTGGGCCCAAGGTGCCAATGGCAAAGTCCGAACGAGTCCCGAACAAAGAGAGCCGACGAACGGAAAAAAATGCAAGCTTACCCAATCTCGTCCTGGTGAGGTTCTCTCTCCAACTCCCGACGTGCATGTGCGAAACGTCCCAAGAGACTTAGCGTGTGGCGCCACCGTCGCCATTTGCTACTGGGTTAGAGGGGTTAAACGTCACTCCCCGCTCCCCCAGCGTGGCAGACCGCGAAGGAGAGGAGTCATGTCAGGACATGAGAATGCAGAAAGAGGTGGCAAAGCCCGTGCCAAGGTGGTGGGCTAGCCTCGATTCCCACAACGTCCACCTCCTCTTCTCGAGGTGCAAAGTTTCTCCAATCAAACAAATCACGTTACCACATTTGAAACTAATAGCCACTGTTCTGGATTCTAGAGTCTTGAAACTCTTGAGAAAAGAGTTGAAATCAAAGAACTGGACAATTAAAGACTACACATGGACAGACTAAACTGTGACGCTTTGTTGGATACGAATCTCAGCAACCAAGTGGAAGCAATTTGTTTTTAACAAAGTTAACAAGATACGTCACACAACTGATCCAGACCAGAGGCATCACTGTCTGAGAACACAAAACTTAGGTGATCTGCTGAGGAGTAGACTTTCAACGACAGGTCTTTGCAATGGCTAGCTGTGGTGAAAACCACCCAGCTGGCTTCTACGCACCCCAGATAGTTCGCCCATGACCCTTGACAGACAAGATTCTGGACTTGTAGACAAATGAGCTGCGTCAGAGTTAAAGAGAAGAGTCCCAGTACTATTGTGACAACTTAACCACTGTTCGATGTCAGCAGATACAGTTTTTGGTTGCAGAGCACAAAAGTCAAAGCATGGGTAAAACACTTAATGTGCAACTGTTGATCACCAGAGTCTCATAAAAAAGGAGGACTTAGAGCTACTGAACTTCAAGAAGCGGTGAACATCTGATTCAGGCAATCACAGACAGAAACCTAGGATAAGGAGAGAGCCCAACTTGAAGTTGGAAAAGACCCCGACAAGACGTTGCCAATAAAACACCCCAATACCTTCTTCGATGTAAAGGGCATCAAAAGGATTCAAACTCGAATTCAAAACATTGATGTCACATATGAGATGGTGCCGGTGCTATTGCTGGTGTGCCTCATCCTTCTTTAAGCGCATAGAATTGTGCTCTGTGGTAGTATCAGCGTTACTACAACGGAGCTGCGTGCTCGGTTCTGGGTGCCCAGAGTGCGACAAGCAGTGACGAAAGTTCTCCGAAAATGTGTGATTTGTGTGCATTTTAGAATGAAGGCTGCAAGTGCAACAGTAGCCCCGCTTCTCAGTAATGATATGTGCAATTTGCGCTCTTTCAAAATTGAGGGTTTTGACTTTGCAGGGCCAGTGTTCCTGAAAGATTTCGAGGGTGTTAAGAGTACATTGCGTTGTTCACATGAGGAGTAGCAGGAGCCATTCATCTTGAGTATGTTGTTGGACTTGGTGCAAACACTTTCTTCATGGCATTCAAAAGAATCTGTGCAAGATGTGGTATACCACGAACAGTCTACTCCGACAACGCTGTTACATTTAAAACTGCACATGAATTACCTTGCATGCAGCGGTTATACAGGAAGGATGAAGTGAGCCGGCAGAGGTCCAACCACAGCATAACGTGAAAATTTATTGCCGACAAAGCTGCTCGGTGAGGTGGCTTTTTGAAGCAGTTAGTGTGTATTATCAAGATGTGTCTTTGCAAGTCATTGGGCAAGGCGTCTGTTGACTCACAGCAATTGAGCACTTTTCCAACAAAAACTGAAGCTGTTGTGAACTCCAGACCAATATCTTATGTTTACTCTCTCCCTATAAATAGTAACCTATAAATATAACCATAAATCTATAACTATAAATAACCTATAACCATAAATCTTGACCTAGCATCATTTTTTTTTGTTAGGCAGCCGTCTCTTGTCAGAACCTAACACTTCAGGTGAATGGGGAAAATGAACATGCAGCTAGTAATGGCAAAACTGTGGAAGTGATGGCTTTGTGAATATCTTCTCAACCTCTGAAGTGTTCACTCAGAAAGAACATCTAAAAATAACAGCATAAAGAAAAGGGACATGGTGATTATTTCCGAGGACAATACTTCTAGACTGTCCTGGAAAACTGGTGTAGTAAGCGAATGCATTCCAAGTAAAGATGGCATAGTTTGTTCAAGTAAAGTAAGGATACCCTATGGCTCTCAGTTGTTCAGGCCTGCACAAGAACAGCAGCCTTTAAATCTTGCCACTTCAGGCCTCGGATTATGTTAAATTATTAGAAGAAAAAGACAATGATAGAACTAGCACATGTCAGACTTGACTGACTTGAAACGGCGAACAATGAATGCATTGCAATGGTGCTCTGAGCAATGAAGCCGCCTTACTTTCCATCTTTTCCACGACAGGGCTACCTTTCTTCTACAAAGGTGTCGATTTTTCTTCAAGGCTCTTCTGCTGCCATCCCGAGTTTTGGTCCCCAAGTCAGCAAAGGCCCACAGTTCAAATCTTGCCCGATTATCTTTCACCAAAGGGAAGGGGGTGCTTCCTCAAAATTTTATAGTTATGATGTCATGTGGCTAAAGTAAAGCGATGCCTAATAAATGTTGGGGCACTATCAGTTATTCCAACAGTAAAAAAAAAAAGGCTGTTTTACAAAGAAAACTACTAATACTGTGCCAATCATGGAGCATAACTTTCCCAGAGCAGAGAACAGTACTGACCAGGGAGGGTTGGTAGAAGAAGTCTCCGCAGCCCTTGGTGAAGTCCCTGATGACAGTGTAAGGGTTGCCCAGCACATCCATGCCCAGGATGAGGACGTAACACTGCTGCACGACTTGCAAGGCATAGTGTGCCCTGATGTCCTTCAGCAGCTTTGCTGGTGACACAAGCCGACCTTTCTGCTCGAAGAAGGCCAACCTGAAGGTCGGGCAAACATTACTACAAACAGGATATATAACTGCATGCTCTGGCCAAGCGGAGTTCTTTTCATGACAGAATGTAGACCCCAGAGTAAAAAAAAGCTATACTGCATATAAATCTTATGATGTAATGGAATTATGCAGCATATCTATTCTTCAATCAATTCTGAATAAAACAGAGTATATCCAAAATGTACCTGTATGGCCAGACACTAAAAATAAAAATAAAAGTAGAAATAGAATAAAAAAAATGAAGTCACAGCTTTGCTGCAAAGATGAAGCAATCAATGCGATAGCAAGAAATTGGAATGTCGCATGAAGAATTGCAAGCAGATCGAAACGTGCCCCGTGTTGCTCACGCATAAATTACACATAAAACATACTCATAGGTACAGATGAATGCAAAAATGACTCAGTTGTTACTTTGCTGTGTCTGAAAAGCGTGCCCATTTTGCAAACTATGCATCGAGTGCAGTGACCATTGTGCACTCGATAACTACAACAGAATCATTACGATGAAAGCTGAGGAATACGATTCTCGCCACCACGACAAAAGCATGTGCACGCGTGAGAGTCTACCCACCCCCCTCTGCGGGGCAAATTACGCGTGAAAGATCACGCGTAGGAGATGAATGGATCAGGGCGCATCGCCGCCTCGTTGTGATATGGCGACGCGCGCTCATTGTGCAATCTCGCTGGTAATGCTGAAGACACGATAGGCACCCGAGATCGTTATTGGCAGCTGTGAGTGGTAGTTATAAATAGCTTGCCATTACAATGTTGAAAAAGGTACTCCTCGTGATTCAGTGGCTAACGCCCCGCACTCAGAAGCAAGATGTCGGATGTTCGATTCCATGCTCAGAAGCTTTTTTCTGGATTATTTTTTTTCTTGCATTTTCATAGATATAGATATGTATACATATACGGTGAATGACGGTGGTCACTATGGTCGACATCGACGCTGAAGACGGCGGCAGAATCCAGCTGAGAGTGTCCATGCAATTGAATAAAAGCCAGCAGTGCACTAGCAGTGCTGAACCAGAACGAAGTGTAAAGTTAGGCTGTTTCTCCCACTTCTTTTTTTTCCCCTCTCCTGCTGAAGCACACACAGCTAGGTGTGGGAGCGGGTCGAGACTCCCCCATCGGCTTGGGTTCGAGGTGATGCTGCTCAACAAATGCCTGCCTTCGTAGACACCCCTGTGGAACTACTGAATCACAGGGAGTGCACCCTTGTTCGACACATCAGCTGGGCGTCCGTAGAGGAGATTGAGGAAACAGTGCATTTTCTTTTCATGTGTAAAAGGCTGTCGAAACCACTTTGGTTATTAGCAGCGAGAACATACCATAATGGCATCTGCTGGAGTCTGTCTTTTTGTGATGTATAAACGACATCACAAACTACCAACTGTGCAAAGTGTTTGACAACTCCAGCAATTCAGACTGTTCAGTCGAGGCTTTTCTCGCTTTGAAAGCATTGGTTGTGTTAGTATTAGCTGCGAAACAACATAGAGTGTTTGCCAACAAATATTTTTAGAAGGCAACGTGCAGTCATTGTCGTGTCATGCACTTTCAACGGAGCGCACGCAAATGGTGCCATAGACGTCTAATGTGAAGAGACGCTCTGGTAAGAGGTGAGTTGTTATAAAATTCATCTAGTAATCTGTAAATCAAAGCACTCCAACATTTCGCATACATTTATGTTTACTGAGGCATGTGCGATGGCGCGCATCTGTATCTTGCTTTTGTGTGGAAAGTGTGTGGCTGAGAGGTAACATTTCTATGTGCATAGATTGCAGTGCACAATTCACGGTGACCCCTTGACCTAATTTTCAGAGCAGTATCAAGTAATTGAAGGTGAACGATGATTGGTTATTAAGTTCACGTGACCTTTTAAAAGGGTAGGATTATTCATAACTACTAATATATTTAAATAGGTGGAACTTCATCAGATACAGTCTTGTTTTTTTAATTCTTGCTTTCACTACACGTTTTTCTCTGTGCAGAGAGTATTCACTGATGTAATACGACACGAGAATGTTGCAATACCAGCACGCATTGCTTGCTTGGCTATTATATTGTAACACGAAGGCAATAGGCACGCAAACACTGAGCTGGTGTATTAACAGCCAATATAACTGCTGCACAAGTGGCGACAAGAGAAGTCGTCTTCTTCTCGTCCCAGCAAGATTTTTCATGTTCTTTGCCACAACTTCAACCTCCCGGCATGTTTAGCTCCGTCCTGGTGCAAATCACAGAGCGTCAGTTAATCTTAGTAGATAAGGCTTGAGTCTGGCGACGTGAAACACGTCACTGCTGATGCGAGGTAGCGAAAACACGTCGGCTGGTGCGATCTCGTACATCACGTCAAACAGCTGGCATAATATCTTGTACGGCCCAGAGTAAGGAAAAAAGAGTTTTTCCGCCAAGCCAACACGACGTGACAGTGACCGAAGGAGGACAAAGGAACCAGGGGAAAATTTTGTTTCTCAATGCTGATGGTCATAGTGTCGCTTTTGAAATGCTTGTGATGCTGTCAGGCAATGATGAGCGACCTCTCTGGCATGGGCAGCCAAGGTAGTTGCACTGCGGGCATAGACACTTGTTAAGAACTGTACGCCAGAACGTAGTAACGTATCAAGGGGCAAGACAGGGTCACAGCTGTACAAAAGGTAGAATGGCAAAAATCCGGTGGTGTCATGACGGGATGAATTGTAAGCACATGTAATGTATGGTAAAGTTGCATCCCAGTCACAATGGTCGACAGAAACATACATAGCAAGCATGTGAGTAAGAGTGTGGTTCAGGCGCTCAGTGAGCCCGTTCGTTTAGCGGTCGTGTAGCGATGGAAGTGATCTTGCGTTCCGTAGAAGGAAATGGAGCAGGTCATCGACGACCTTTGACAAAAAGCAACGGCCACGATCCATTAGCAACTGTCAAGGGGCGCCATGGTGTAGGATGAGGTTCTGTAGTAGGAAGTCGGCAACATCTGTAGCGGAGCTGGTCAGTATAGCTCGCGCAATGGCATATCTTGTTGCATAATCTGTTGCAACAGCGATCCACTTGTTCCCTTTGGTATAATTGGAGAACGGGCCAAGTAGGTCGAGGTGCACACGAAAGAATAACTCTGTAGGGGCTTCAAGTGGCTGAAGCAAACCAGCAGGAGGTAAAGCAGACGTCTTCCGTTGCTGAAACAGGTCACAAGAAGAGACATAGCGACGCACAAAACGATAGAGACCAGGCCAGAAGAAGCGGCGTTTTACGTGGTCGTAAGTGCGAGTGATGCCCGTATGGCCAGCAGTGAGAGCATCATTAAGTTCCCGGAGCGCGGCCAGTCGCAGATGCTTGGGAACAACAATTAACAGCCCAGGACAATAGTAATGAACGTTGTGGTGGCATAAAATGCCATCATGCATTGTGAACATTCGGAGTCAAGGATCAGTGGGTCCATAGCTTAGGCGGTCCATAATGTTTTGAAGAACAGGGCCTTGTCATTGCTGGAAGCCTATGTCGAGAAAGCCCGATAAGGACTTGGGTACAGACGTCCATGTCAACATCTGTGTCGGCGGGTTAATTCAAGGGAATGCGAGAAAGGCAGTCAGCGTCACTGTGCATGCGTTGAGATTTATGTACTATTGAGAAGTCATATTCTTGTAGATGCAGTGCCCAACGCGCAAGTCGTCCAGTTGGGTCCTTCAAAGAGAAGAGCCAACAGAGTGCATGATGGTCAGTTACGATGCGAAAGGAATGCCCAAACAAGTTCGATCAAAATTTTGTGATACCCCAAACGAGCACAAGGCATTCTCATTCAGTTATTGAGTAATTATGTTTGGGCGTGGAGAGGAAGCAGCTTACGTAAGCGATGACACAGTCGCAGCCCTGTTGATGCTGAGTGAGAACAGCACCGATGCCATGACCACTCGTGTCAGTGTGTACTTTAGTGGACACAGAAGGATCTAAGTGCAAGAAAATAGCTGAACTTGTAAGCCTCTCAATAAGGATAGAAAAAGTGTGCTCTTCTTGTGGCCCCCAGAAGAAAGAGGTATTCTTTTTCTGAAGGTCGGTTAGAGGACAAAATTTCTTTAAATAGCAACGAAAATAGGAGCATAATCCCATGAAACTGTGGACACCTTTTATCGAAGTAGGTATAAAAAAATCTCTAACAGCGCAAACTTTCTCAAGATGAGGGTGGATTCCTGCAGCGTTTACGAGATATTCGAGCAGGGTAATTTCGCGGCGACCGAAGTGACATTTAGATGAATTCAGCTAAAGGCCAGCAGAGTGAAACACAAAGAAAACAGTTTTGAGGAGTTCTAAGTGGCCTTCAAATGTCGGCAAAAACACGATTATGTCGTCTAGGTAGTAGAAACACGTTTATTTACCACTTTAAGCCACGCAAGAGGGAATCCATCATGTGCTCGAATGTAGCTGGCGCATTGCACAATCTAAAGGGCATGACGTTGAACTAGTACAAACCTTCTGGTGTGATAAAAGCTGTTTTTTTCACGGTCCATCTGATCAATGCTGATCTGCCTATCGTTTGAACGGTGATCAATTGAAGAAAGATAGTTGGATCCATGAAGGCAGTCAAGGGCGTCATCTATGCAAGGCAGTGGATACACTTTTTTCGTTATCCTATTAAGGTGACGGTAGTCAACCCAGAAGCACCACAAGTTGTCTTTCTTCTTTACTAAGATTACCGGAGATGCCTACGGGCTACTAGATGGCTCAATGATGTGCTTGTTCATCATCTTGTTGACCATTGAATGACGGTCCTTTCCACAGAGATGCGATAGGGTCTCCTACGAATTATGTTTGTGTCACCGGTGTTGATGTGATGAGTGACAACAGATGTCTGTCCAAGAGGCCAGTTATTCAGGTCAAATATATCTTAATAAGATGAGAGCAGGTGACGAGGGCAAAGTAATAGGCATCAAAGGTGCACTTGTACCAGAGAGAGATTCAGTGACCACAGAATATATTTGATATTCGTTCAAAGGA